GACCTCTTTTTGTAGCATCGGCCACCAATCTGCATGTGGTAAAGAGATTGACAGAAATTGAAATTTGGCCATACGCGACAAGGAATCCGCACCTTGATTTTCAACTCCTTTTTTATACTCGATCTCGTAATCATACCCCAGTATCTTTGGCAACCACCGCGTTTGTGCCAGTGTAGCTATCCATTGCTCGAGTAAATACTTAAGACTTTTTTGGTCGGTGCGGACTGTAAAAGGTTTCCTAAGCAGATATGGGCGCCATTTCTTAATGGCTTTGACAATAGCTAACATCTCCTTCTCATAGGTGGATAGTGCCAAGGCTGAACCCTTCAATGCTTCACTAAAATAGGCCACCGGTCGGTTTTGTTGCGTAAGGATTGCTCCAATCCCAGTTCCACTCGCATCGCATTCAATCACAAATCGTTGGGAAAAATCTGGAAGACATAGGATTGGTGGTGAAGTGAGCGCTTTCTTCAACTGTTGGAAGGCCAGCTCCGCTGTCTCGTTCCATTGAAATCCCCCCTTGGTCAATAGTTGGGTCAAGGGAGCTGCTATGCTTCCAAAGTTGCGGATGAACTTCAGGTAGTATCCTGCTAACCCGAGAAAGCCACGGACCCCCTTTGCCGATGTCGGTGTAGGCCATTTGAGAACGGCTTGTATTTTTGTTGGATCAACTAACACGCCTTGCTCTGAAATTATATGACCCAAGTACTCGACCTGCGAAACACCAAATCGACATTTTGACATTTTTTCAAATAATTTGTTAGAGGATAATATTGTTAGAACAATTCGCAAATGAGATATATGGGCTTCCCATGATTTCGAATAAACCAGAATGTCGTCGAAGAAGACCAAAATAAATTTTTGGAGGTATGGACGGAAGAGGTCATTCATGAGGCTTTGAAAGGTTGCAGGCGCATTCACCAAGCCAAACGACATCACTAAGAACTCGTAATGCCCTTCATGCGTTCGAAAGGCTGTTTTAGGGATGTCTTCTTCTCGCACCCGAATCTGATGGTACCCGGACCGTAGATCTAGTTTGGAGTAGAACTTGGTCCCGTGGAGCTCATCTAATAGTTCATCAATCACCAGAATGGGGTACTTGTTTTTTACTGTGATGTCATTCAGCGCTCGGTAATCCACGCAAAATCGCCAAGCTCCATCAACCTTCTTCACTAACAAAACCGGTGATGAAAATGGGCTGTTGCTTGGCCTTATCAATCCTGACTGCAGAAGTTCCTTCACCATTTCTTCTATTTCCGTCTTCTGGTAATATGGGTACCGATATGGCCTCCCACTAACTGGTCCCTTTTCGGGAAGAAGCAGAATTTGATGTTCATGTGGTCGTTTAGGTGGCAGGTTGGTGGGCGGCTCAAATACATGAGAAAACTCAGTTAGGACGTGGTTCATCTCAGGCAGATAGCAACTGGGTTGGCTGCTGTAGTTGGAAGGAACTATTTGGAAGAGGAACCTTGTACCTTGTAATCCGTTGCACTCTTTGTCGGTCAAGGCTTCGATGCTGGCGCGTCCCACTCCCTGGAAGGTGCAAGAGACTCCTCCCTTCTTGAACGTCAAGGTTAGCCGTTTATAATCCATCTCGATGGGTCCAAGAGTTTCTAGCCATTGCACTCCTAATACCAGCTGTCATGCCGCAACTGGGAGAACGCAGTAGTCAGCAGTAATGGGATGCCCTTGGATGGTGAGAGTGAGAGCCTGGCACTGCCCCACACATTCTATCTTTTTCTGGTTGGCGACCATAACTTGGAATTTTCTATCCCGGTTCACTGGTAACCCGAACTTAGAGACTATGGCTTGATCAATGAAGTTGTGGGTACTACCGCCATCAATAAGCACCGTCACGTTCTTGTTTTTCAGCTTACCTAGAACGCGTATGGTTTGTGGGTGCTCAGCTCCTGCAATCACATGGAAGGAGATCTCAGGAATCGCTTCTTGGTTCTCTGCCTTTGCCTCGTCATTCTCCGTGCCCGCCTGTATGGGATCCTCAATCATGAATAACTGTGGACGTTCGCAATGATGGCCAGCGGTGAACCTCTCATCACAGTAGTAGCATAATCCCTTCTCGCTCCTCCTGGTTGGTGAGCCGCCGGAACATTGCTGGTGGAGCGTTGGGAACCTGGTTCGTGCGCTGAGTTGGTGGAGACCCGAGAACACCTGCCATTGGGTTGGGTGACCCTCTCTGGGATACTACGGCTGGTTGGGATCGAACCTGCTAGTTTGATTTCCGCTGTAGTAGGTTCCTCTCCTCAATCAGTCGAGCAACTTCGATCGTGTCTATCAAGGTTCTATGCTGCTTAATTTTCACATCTATACGGATGTCATCGCGAAGTTCTGCAATAAAACAGCCAATGAGAAAACTCTCGGGCAGGTCGTCAACTTGATGGGAGAGTCGTTCAAAGGCTTCTTGATAAGCTGCCACCGTTGTAGTTTGCTTGAGGCGAGTTAAAGCTTCCGACGGATCCTCATAGTCGGTTGGACCAAATTGTTGTAGCACAGCCTTGGAGAATTCTTCCCATGTAAGTGGTCCGCGATGTTTTGTCAGCCACCGATGCCATTGCAAGGCGATGCCTTCCAAATGAAAGGAAGCTAGTTGCACTTGTTGGTCTGATACAATATTTTGGAAATCAAAATATTGCTTTGCCTTGTAAATCCAGCCGCTTGGGTCATCCCCATTAAATTTCGGGAATGACAATTTGACATGCTGATGAGGGTGATCATGGACGGAGTTGGAACGGGAAGTATGTGGGTGTGAGGCTTCTTCATGAGCGAAGGGGTTGGTCTCGGGAGTGGTTCATGAGGCTCGGAAGGCTTGGAGTTCGGTTAACACTGCTTGTAAGACAATGTTCACCTGGTCGAAGCTTGACTCATGCCGGGCCAAGGTCTCGTTGACCTCATTGCGGAATTCCGCATTGGTTTTGCCACGAGTGTCCATGGTCGTAACCGGCTCTAATACCAACTGATATAGTCAAGTTCTCAGCAAAGGGAAAGAGAGATTCAGAGTAGGATAAGGAGAAGAGAGAGGGAATTTGGTTGTAGGAAAAGCCAATGCCTTTATTCCATTCTTCAGGCTATATTTATAGCCTTATAGTGCTACAAACTAGGAGTTAAGATAGGAACTGCCGCCCCATGATCTTAGGAGCTTATCAACAAGAAACAGAATGAACTTATCTACTAAAACAGAAATGAAGACTTATCTACTAAACAGAATTGAAATAGAATGGCTAAGGCTTATCCAATAACTAAGAACTACTATGACCGAGTCTCCTGCTGCTATCAACTTTGACCGGGTCTTCAACTTCTGTGCCGCCTAGTGCATGCATGCACATGCACGTATCACCTTGAATAGGTTTTATTCTCTAAGATAGGAAATGGCCATTCCCTCAAATGAAAAAATGCTCATTTCAACAGAAATGAAAATGGAATTTTAACAAACAGTTGCATCACAAAAAGTTTTTCATGGACCAAAGTAATCAAAATGATAATAAAAAGCATGAGTTGCCTCGAAATTAGTTTATAGATGTATATCAAGGCCCATTTTCCAATCTGGATGTATTAACACCGTGCTTGGATATGCTACTCACAGGCCCATTTACCTTCTTTTGGTCTGAAAATTTGTGATAAGTTCTTAAAGGCTTCAGCAACTATAGATTTATCCTTGTTTCTTAAAGCATAGAAGTCGACTGTACCACATAACACATAATCCCATGATACAGCTACCTCTATACATACATATATAAATTTGGGATTAAGATTTATTTTTTCTTGATTTTTAACAATTTATAGATCTTTTGATTAAATTATCATGTAGTACCTTATTTATTATTTTTCATACCATACTTATATCCATTTGAGACTTAAAGTTAGTGTTAGATGATTTTTAAGATTTATGTGAGTTTGATATATAACATATTGATGCATATATTAATTTTTTCACCATATACATATGTTTTCAAAGTGTATCATGCGTTTTTTTAAATAGCCTTTTCTTAGGAGATTTTTTGGATTCTTTGAAGTTTGAACCTCAAATAACGATTGACACATGCAATGAAAGAAGAATACAGAGAATAATTAATTCCTCTTTTTGAATTGAGTTAGGTTTTGGAGAGACAGCCCATAAGTAATGGTTCGTTTGGTTTATAATCGGAATTGGAATTGAAATTGAAACCAAAATCCTTGAAATCAGAATTCCCATAGTCTGTTTGATTCGATAAGAATCAGAATCAGAATTGTAATAAGCTGAAATGGGATTTTATTCTCAAGGAAGAGGGAAGGAATGCCCATTCCCTCAAATGAGGAATGTCATTCAAGTAGGAATGGGAATGGGACTCTGATTTTGCCCAACCAATTCCAATTCTAGACCCTTATTCCTGTGAACCAAATGGGCCCAAAATTTATTTTCCTAACTAATAACCAAAGGTGTGTGGAATTGGGTTTTACTAGTCCAATAAGTTATTGAATTAGGGCCCATTTTGTTTATAGTCTAAATCAGAATTGGAATTGGAACAAAAATCCTTTTGGAATCAAAATCAAAATGGTATGTTGCCATAGTTTATTTGGTTCAGATAGGAATCTAATTCAGAATTGGAATAAGCTGGAGTAGGATTTCATTCCCAAAGGATGAGCTAGGGAATGACCATTCCCTCAAATGGTGGAATGGCATTTCAATAGGAATGAAAATGGAATTTCAATTTCGCTCAACCAAACAATTAAAATATTCCGATTCCAAACCCCTATTTCTATGAACCAAACAGACCGTTAGACAGTTAATTGACTAAAGACTTCCACAATCACTGAAGCTGAAACCATGCATAGACTTGAACTAGTATCAACATTTTACAGCCCTTACCGCCCAGTCTCACAAAATCACAAGTACATTTAACCATATATATCTGTAGTAGTAGTGCTAATAGTATCACCAACCTTACTAATAGTTAATGTCCCAATTAATCTAAGCCTAAACAAGAATTTATTAAGCAACAGCACTGTCACGCTCTCCCTGGGCACTCAAACTTCACTTGGCACGAGTCTTCCACCCTCACCGTATAGGTGTGCGGCGACCTCCTCAGGAACAAAGGCAGCTGAACCATCAACTGACACACACACGTCGAATCCAGCTCCCTCACCCATCTGCAGCACTCGGCGTTTGCCCCGTGATGGTGGTGGTGCCTGTGGCGATGGGCCTGATGGCGATGATGCTCATGATCGCGGTCGTGGTCGTGGTCGTGCCGGTGCTCGTGGTCGTGGTCGTGGTCGTGCCGGTGCTCGTGGTCGTGGTCGTGGTCGTGGTCGTGCCGGTGCTCGTGGTCGTGGTCGTGGCCGTGCCGGTGCTCGTGTTCATGCTCATTAACCATTTGCTGTTGATTTTCCTGATGATGAGTCCCATTCATATCTGCAGCAAGATGATGTTCGAGAGGCACGAATGCACAGGCATGGTTTGCCAGGGCGAACTGGGACATGCAGAGTGGGCGGGGGGCCGGCACAGACATGGTTTTGGTTGCTAGCACCAGCAAAAGCAGGATTAACATCGTTGTTCGAATACTTGTTGCTCTCTCCATGCTTGCTCAGTTGCGCTCTCTCTCTCTCTCTCTCTCTCTCTCTGGTGCTGGGGACCGACGGTCATCAGCTGGGATTCCTAGCTAGGTAACGGAGATGGGTCATCCTACCTTTACTTATAATACTTGACCGTGCACATTCTTTCTGCTTCCCCATTTTCTCATTGCGAGCTCGGGATCAAACTTGAATGATGAAACAAATGAGGTTAATTTATAATTAGATCGTAATGGGAGACCACTTCTCTAAGGAGTAGAGGCGTCTCATTCTCTTTGTGTGAAGTTTATTATTAGTTGTTAGGTGATATACAGTTACTCTTCGCATGTGTGCGTCTGGTGCAATTTCAGTAATATTTTGTATAATGAATCAACTTGTCTTTGACCCGGGCTAGTTGTGAAGGTTCAAATTATCATGGTTTTTGAACTATCATTGACCCGAGGCGATCAGTCTGTTTGGCCTAAAAACCGTTCAAGCAATAGTTTTTAATTTGTGAATTGTCAACCCATTCAGACAACAGTTTTGGCCGTTTTTTATTCTAACTATTTTTTTACTTTTTACTTTTTTTAAACTGCTGACCCGGTGGCTTCGGATCGGTTTTTAAATCATTAGAAATTATGGCAGTGTATCCTACTGCTTGCTAAGAATGCAAAAGGCTTATATATCCATATAAGTGCAAATTTGGTTTGGTTTTGGACAGATAAATTTTGTTTTGTGTTTGATTGTAAAATTTAAACTAGAATCTACCTGATCAACTTTGAATGCAAAAGATTACTCCCAAAAATTGAGGCAAACTTTGCTCTATTTTGAATGCAAAAGCGTAAAAAAAAAATTAATTTTATTTTATTTTGCATACAAAATTGCACTCTTGCCAAACAAGAGTCCGGATTCAGTGGACCCTTGGGTTCATGGAGCATGTGAACCCTCTAATGAGAAACGCGCACGTCGACACTTTTGAACTAACCTCATTATAACGGACATTTGCCATTATCAACTATCCGTCCGGTTGAACCGGACACTAAAAGATAAAAAAAAATGAAAAATCTTATTTTAAAATTTAGGCCCAGCTCCTGTACCAGTCCTGCAGTCCAGCAGTCCTATACCAGTCCGACAGTCCCGCCATTGCTTTGGTCATAACCATACCCTCCATCCGGCATGTAGGCAACTTGGCACCACCACCCATACCTCCAGGCATGTCACCTCCACCAACTGATTCTTCTCAAGCCAGTCCATCGTCTCATCATCAATTGCCTTCTCCATCTTCTGCTTATCTGTAGGGTTCAATTTCCCAGTAAACTTCTCATCCCTGATCGTATCCTTCATGCTATACGCATAGCTCTCTAATGCGGTAGAAATAGGCCGGATGTCGAAGTCCTCACCCCCGAATCAAACATGAAAACGTTCTTTTCATCAGACCTCAAAGCCTTCTTATTCAAACCATAAGCAATGGCTTCGGCATCCTTCGTCGCCTGCCTCTACGAATCGTTGAAATAGGCCGGCACAATGATGACAGCATTCTTGACTGTCTAACCCAAATATGCCTCCGCAGTCTCCCTCATCTTGGTCAAGGCCATGGACGAAATCTCCTCAGCGGCGAAATGTTTCTCTTCGCCCTTGAATTGAACAACAATCATGGGCTTGTCACTGGGGCCAGGAATAACCTTGAAGGGCCAGAGCTTCATGCCACTCTGTACAGACGGATTAGAAAACCGCCGACCAATGAGTCGCTTGGCATCAAACACTATGTTGGAGGGTTTCATGGCGACTTGCTTCTTGGCAGCATCACCAATCAACCTCTCGGTATCAGTGAATGCGACATACGAAGGCGTAGTCCTATTACCCTGATCATTGGCGATGATCTCGACCCTGTCATTTAGCCTCACTCCGACGAAGCTGTAGGTGGTACCCAAATCGATACCAATCGCCTTGCCTTCAGTTTTAGCCACCATCGTCGAGGCTTGTAGCCTTGAAATGGAAATGCGCTAGATGGGTTGCTTGTCTCTACTAAGGATCAACTAAACAAAGTGATTCAGAAGAAAACTACAGAAATTTACAAAGCGCTTGTGTTAAATTGATTTGGAGTTCTTGATTCCAGTCTGAGTTTTGTGAGAAAGGTTGTGAGGAATTTAAAAGCCTGTTGAGGAGATTGTTCTATTAATGTTGAATGCTCAAGAATTTTGTGGATACGTCAAAATCAATTCTCTAATTTAGAGGGTGTTTGACTTTCACACGGTTGCATTTTATGACCAACTTGCCACATCATCATTTGTGCTTAAATGGTCATAGAGGATCGATATGATGATGTGGTAATTTGGTCATAAAATGCAACCATGTCAAACAGTCAAAGTCGAAACCCTTAAATTAGAGAATTATTTGGGGGTGGCCTTCACCAAAAGCCCGCCCACAAATAGGCCTTAGGCTAATGGGTAATCAAGGGCTTCTCACATTCTACTTAAGTGGGTACATGATAAAGATGATATCAAACAAATGGGTACCCGGTCCGTTATTAATATACCTGGGCCCAAAACTATTGGGTCCAATTCAGGTCCATGTGTGAGTGGCTGAATAAGTTGCGAGATCTGTTGGAATAGGGCTGCAAGTCGGGCCGGCTTAGATTGGGTTGAGGCCAATCCTAGCCCAACCCTAATCTTAACCCAATCTGGCCTTCAACCCGACCAACCTAATCTTAACCCTAACCCAACCCAACCCAACTCAAAGCCAATTTCGGGTTGGGTTGGGCCCAATCCAACCTTCTTCCCATCCCTTAAAACCTCATAGAATTTCTCGATTTTAGATCTTAACTCAATTTTCACTACATATGTTAATCCTATGTTTCATTAGTATTTGTTTGTCGACGTTTTTTCTGTTCTTTTGATACAAAAATTCAGAAAATCAAGTGTTATAAATGACTATAGTTTATTATGAGTTATGACTTACGATAGATCCTTCTTGGGTAGCAAACAACAAAGAGGAGATGAAGAATAAAATTTTCAAAAAAAAAAGACATAAAATAATGTTATTAAGGTTTTAGTGTTTCTGATTAGGATTAAGTGAAGTGATTTATCTTAAAAGAAATACATGATGCTATGTGGTGGGGGCTATGCGAATATCATGCATCTAAACAAATCAATGTATATTATATATTACATATAACATATATTTATACATTACAAGTACTATAGAGTCGGGTTCGGGTTGGCTAAGGGGTCAATCCTAACCCAACCCGAAGTAAAGTCAGGTTCATGAATTTCAACCCTAGCACTAACCCGAACATCAACCCAACTTTTTTAGGTTGGGTTCGGGCCAACCCGACCCAAGTTGCAACCTTAGATATCTGGTAGCCTGGTTAGTTAGTAGGTAAAGTAACTATTGATTCCATTGGTCATTCTCTATTAACAAATTTGATATTTTTTTCTTTTTGTTATTTTGATTAATAAAGAAGGATAGAATTATATCAACTCTCAACAAAATTTGTGGAGATTGACGGGTATGTTTTCACTCAAGTTCTCCTACCCACATGGCCACATGACAATATCACTTTATATTTGCAACATCTCCCAACAATGTTTTCGAATGGTAGTTGATCCAAACGGTCAGACCATTCAGTTTGGGAACTGCCCAAATAATTGGTTCCATTTTATCTTAAATCCGGTTATTGGCCAAAAAACGTTGAATTGGTCAATGATTTGTTGATTCGGATGGTCGAACTGTCAACCCATTCAAGAGGTCGTCTGTTCGAACCGGACGATCAAACTGTCATCAGAACGGTTTCGATTCTAGGCCAGTTTTTAAAACATTGTCTCCCAATGGATGATCACCCTAGATCTCCTAAACTCTTACCTACAAACATTTCCCACATCCTTACCCATAGAGGTGAGCAAGAAAAACAGAACCAACAAGATTGAACAAAAAATTATGGTTTATTGAACAAATTGGTTCGGTATTTTTGAAAATTTGATGGTTAATTGGACCAACCGATATATATATATATATATATATATATATATTATACAAATATATTATTTAATATCTTATGTATATTTCTAATTTTTTATTACATATGCATATATAAAAGCCAAAAAACTGAACCGACAACCAATTAATCAGTTGACTTTGGTTTAGTTTCAATTACCAGTTTTCCAAAACCCAGTACTACCAGTTAGGTTTGGAAATTAGGCCCACGATTCGATTGACCAAACCAACAACCAATTAACCAATTGACTTTGGTTCAGTTTCTATTACTGGTTTGGTTTGGAAATTAAGCCCACGGTTCGGTTCCCCTACCTACCCACAAGMCACTGATGCTATGTATTAGGAACATCTTTCTATGAATGACAATGACAAAGGAGACATTTCCAAAATGTGCATGTAATGTTCTTGTGGGTAGAGATGTGGGAAGCATTTGTGGATAGGAGAGTTTGTGGGCAAGGATGTGGGAACATCTCTCCATGTAGTGTGCATATAGTGTCGTGTGGGTAGGGATATGGGGAGAGTTTATAGGTAAAAAATGTCTAGTATGTTTAAGCCTTTAAGGTGGTTCTGGGCCAAGAATGATAAGCACATCTTGGGCCAACAGTTGGATTTCCTCATGTGGGTGAATGAAATTCAAATTAGCCCCCCACAAGATTGCTCCTCGCAACATCCTACAAATACATCTTTACCGTGTATTGAGAATATTTCTAGATAATAACATTACTATTTCTGATACTATTATCGGGAGATGTTTCCAATACACAGCAGAAATATGCTGTGGGAGGTTGTGGGGTGCAGTCTTATGGGGCTGATTTGATCCCGGGTGAAATGTGACCTGCAATGTATTGTGGTCAACAAATCCGGACTCGTCAACACTAGCCATGCAATATAGGTATAGGTCCAGTCCAGAGTAATGAGACCACCACCGCTAGATGAGTCTCACCCAATCTAGTTAATTCTCGCACCAAATATAGCCACGCCACGATCCGATGAATTTCAACCATCTGTTGGTTCCACTATTTTTTTTTTTTTCATTTTGTAATTTTTCATGGTTTAATCAAAATCTTTTCCACCAAATAAAGGGAAACGAGAGAAAAAGGGTTCGACTATGGACGTCCAAGACTCCAATCCACTCCCACCGAACGAGCGCATGTGGCTGTGAATGAGATTAATGGGGCCCAAGCCCATATCAAAGCCCATTACAAGCATTTCTTGTACAGTTGTACCACGTTTCCCGGTACCATTTTCAAACTCGAGTATTTAAGATCTATCCCCTCGATTCGAGTTTCGTGGTTGCTGAAATTAGGGATTTCCAATGGCTCTTGCATCCTCGTGTGTCCTATTACATCACAGATCTTTTGCATTCTCCAGATCCTCGATTTCGAAAACTCCAATTCGAAGGACAATCGTCCCTATCACATTCAAAATAGAATCAGTGAATCGTTGCAATTCGGCTCTTCCGAACATCCGATGCTGCTCGAGTTCTGGTTCTTCAGTCGAAGCCGAGAAATATTCTTCAACGAGGATCTTCATCAAAGGTAATTATTCGATCTTCATCAGATCGAACTCATTGTACGAAATTCGCTTAATGTATGCGTAATTGGACTGTTTAGTACTTTAGTTTGCACGAAGTTCGGTACTATTGTTGAAGTCTAGTGAGTAAAGTGAGCAGTAGTATGGTTGAAAGCTTTTACATTTCGCTCAGTCGGCCCCTCTAAGGATGCAATAGGGATGAGTTTCTTTATGTATGTTCATTTGCTGTTTGTTGCAAACAAGTAATGATATGGAATTTCAATTCTTGCTTTTTCTTGGCGAATGTTCTGTTTGATTCTCCACTAGGTCGGATAATTTGGTCAAATAGTTTTCTTTTTTTTTTTTTCCGATTGTTCTCCTAAACAACCTGCTGATTCTGTTTCTGCAAGAGGCTGTTTGACGAGTCGTCAATTCTAAATTTAGTCATATCGACAGAGATCGTTGAACAAGAAGGTCCAGTGTAATTTCTGTTTGGCATGGCTATCTTAAAATTTATCATGTTGAGCTTGCTAGAACATTACAAGTCATACCCCACGTTACCTTGTAACCATATTACCATATACCTGATAACCTCTGCCAGCTGTATTCCTTAACTACCTCTGTATTGTTGGGATAATAAATCCCTTTGTAAAATCCATGTAAGCTGAGACAGTTCAATATAATGTTTCAAAAAACCAACACATATGAACTACTTCCTTTTTTCCACTATGGACAAGATATCACGCACTTACTTGTAAGCACTTTACATTTGAGGCCCTTTTCTGATTAAGGCGGCTTGAAATCCTAGGGCGTCTTGGGTTAAAATTCTCAAAGACTATTTTGGCCTCACGACTCCATGTTGTCTTAAGGATCCTCCATGGAATTGCATGGATTGGAGAGGTTTTTATCTATGTAAACTATTTACATAATAAGATTTTGTCATGGAAGTTCTATTCATTTTCCCAATTTACGATTTAGCTGGTGCTGTGGTCCTTTAAGAGTTTTGCAGCTTTTGTTCCATATGAGGATAATGATGATCTTTTTTGGCCATTTATCAAAGCAAATAGGGAAAGGTTTCAGACGTTCAATTTTGTGTATTTCTTATGCAGTGATGTTGAAGAAGACACTTGACCACTTTTTTTTGTCCTTTTTAATCCTTTGAAATTTGAAAGGAATGTATATTTTTGGAAACTTAGAAAATAATGGCCCTTTTCAAAGAAAAGGTCGCTAGGTTAAGCATGGATGGTTACAAATAGGAAAATTCTGTTGGTTTGAGTTGGTGAATTTGACATATAATAGGGACTAAAGTTCCATGTGTACTCTAGCATGGCATGATTGAAAAAAGAAGGATCTTATAAATTGCAAAGATAGGTTAATTGTGTGCTTCTCATAAAATACCACTACAGGTTCTACTGCACTAATGAAGATTTAGATATAGGCAATTACTGATGGGGGTCATTGAGGTAAAGTGGTAAACTTGCGACTGGGTTTGTAGTCAAAATATTATGCCTATCCTTGTGACAATAAAAAAGAAGCAAAGTTAATTCTATATGAAGTCAAAATTCCATGGCTAGAAACAGTTTAAAGGGAACTAGAAGAAATTGGAACTTGTGATAAATCATGAATAAACTAGTGGCTTCAAATAATATGGTGGTTTTAAATCAGGGATATGTAGTGGCAAACAAAGTAGCAAGTTGAATCGTAGTAGATGGTAAATGAACGTGAAAGATTTCGAGATTATATGATCATTAAAGACTACTTGAGAAAATTTGATGTTGACATTGTAATGATGCAAGAGCCCAATATTCACAAATTCATAGTTAAGGAGTATTTGGGTAGTGATAATTTGTGCTGTGTACTGGCATCGATGCTTTAGATGATATTGTTTTCTTGGATATTATGACGCTAGGAAGAACTACGAAGAAACTTCCATGTATTCTTAGGATTTCAAATTATCGAGGATAATTTTGAATGATGTCGCACATCAGTGTATGCCTCTAGGGTCAACTCCCTTACTTTGACAATCAGTAAATAGAAAGATAGCTCAATATTTGGGGACAAGTGGTGTAGTTGGATTTTTGGGTGTATCAGTACTTGTCACTACTCTATTCTGGTAAATGGTATGGTGAGGGATTTTTTTTCCAGCTTGCAGGGGTGTCAGGCAAGGGATCCATTCTCACCCTTCCTTTTTACCTTAGTAGCTGATGTGATTAATAGGATAATTACTAAGGCTGACAGTGAAGATGCCATTAGGGGTTGGAGAATAGGGAGACACCAAGTCCCTGTCACCCACCTTCAGTTTGCAGATGACCTAATGATCTTTTGTGAAGGAGGTTTTAGCGAAAAGGTAGCAAACCTAAAGGAGCTAATAAAAGGATTTGAAAGTATTTCTAATTTGAGAATAA